CAAGGGTCCCTTCCAGCTCTGATGATTATGTGATTCTCAGAGCACTGGTAAATAATTGCTCTGTTGGTGTTTGGAATGGCTCCTGATCCAGGAGCACTTGGCTGATTCCCTCCTGCTCTGTTCCAGGACGAGGTGGCTCACACGCTGACTGAGAACCGCGTCCTGCAGAATTCTCGGCACCCCTTCCTCACAGTAAGCATTTCTGCCTCTTCTCACTGCAACATAGCATCATAACAAGCAAGGCTTTCCTTATTTTTTGTTCCTTACGGAGTGCACCTGAGATCTCACTGTGTCTTTGCACCCTTCCATTTTTGGGGAGGCCAAATTAAAACACTTCTCTAAGTTTTCTGGTTCCTGCAGAGCAGGTCGTCAGTACCTCTTGAGGACAGTGTTTCAGGGTATGGTTTGACTTTATGGCTTACCCATTTAATAACTTGCTATCTCTGACAGAAATAGCTGCTTCCCTTGGCCTCCAGATGCTTGGTCTCCTCTTCGTAGCAGAGATCAGGGTGACCCTGATCTTGTGACAAGCAAGTTCAGGAAGATACAGTGGGGGGAAAACTCTTTAATTTGCTGTTTGTTTTTATAAGCTCCCAGAAACAGCTCTCTGTGTAATCAGAGGAGTGGTAAATACCAGCCAAAGGATCGTGGTTGGGAGCTTGTGGAATGGGGCAAGGAAGAGCAGGACTGTGCTTTATCCACTGCTTTCCTTTTGGATTGGCTTAGCTGTAAATCCAAACCATGCTCTCAGCTGAGACCTCCAGTGCCAGCAATCTCTCTGGGTTGAGTTCAGACAGCCAAGTTCCATCTCAAGATTTTGTTTCTAATGTTTATTACAAGTTATCTCAGAATTGCTTACAACTGCTGAAGCACTCTGAGAGACTCTGTAGGATCCTGGTTGTTTCCTTTGGCCAGGAACAAGGGATTAGCTGGAGTTTAGACCTTTTGAGCATGACCTCTGGAAGTAAATATTGGCTGTATTGAGCATAATCAGTAAATGTTGACATGTCTAAAACCTGATCCTCCCTTTTTCTGCCAAAATATGACTGGTTTGAAAATGCCACCCCTAGTCATGAAGACAACGATATCATAGGCAGAATTTTCTCTTTCAGGCTTTCCTAAACTCAAATATCCAGAGCAAGGGCTGCCTGGAGAAGTCAGCTACAAGACTGGGTTTAGCCTTGGTAGCAGGAAAGGGTTCTTCTTCCAGAGGTGTTTGGGCACTGAACAGCTGCCCAGGGCAGTGTCACAGCCCCAAGGCTGACAGAGCTTCTGAGGTGTTTGGCCAATGCTCTGAAGCACAGGGTGTGATTGTCAGGGATGTCTGTGCAGGGCAGGAGTTGGACTGGATGATCCTCAAGGGTCCCTTCCAACTCAAGATATTCTATGGGTTACAACCAGAAATCTTAAGGCTGTGGCAAAGGAGTTGCTGTCACCCTTGCCATGGGGATCCATGTGACAGGACTGCACAAAGGCACCTTGTGATGCTTCATCCTGTCTGGTTTTGGGAACTGCTCACAAATTGACATGGGCAGTGTTGCTCAGGCCCCTGGCAGCCTGTCAGGGGCTGCTGTGTGTGAATCTGTAGGTGTTTTGTAGGAGAGGCTTGGAGCCAGTGCAGCAAACCTTTGTGCTCTGGGGTTTGGTTGTGGCCTCTTGTCTGTGAGGTGACGATGTGGGAACTTGTGGCCTAAGAAGGAAACTTCACAGCTATTCTTGGTACATTTTGTGTCGCTGTTAATGGGCCAGGGCTTTGTTTCACAGCACTAGAGGTGGTGATAGCTTCTGCAAGGGATTGTTTTAAGGCTTTGTTGCATGATGATAGTGGATCACTCCTCAGCTACAACAGCAGAGTTTAAGTGATACGTAAGATTCAAGGGCAAAAAGCTGACTGAAATAGCAAATTTCATATCTAGCTTTCTGAAAAAAATCTATTAAAATTGCTTTTCTAAATGCCACTGTGATCTAAGTCTTGGTTTAAATCTGTTCCAGGCTTTAAAGTATTCCTTTCAGACGCACGATCGCTTGTGTTTCGTGATGGAGTATGCGAACGGAGGGGAGGTAAGGGCCATGCCACAGTCTTTAATACTCCAGGATTTGCCTCTATTGCTGCTAATTCTGCTTGACATTCCTTAACTAAGGTCCACGTTTGCAAGTCTAATTAATACAGGCTGTCCCAGTTAAACAGAGCTGTTTGCAGGTTTAACTAATACTAAGCGTTAAGACTCTTAGTTTCCTCAACTCCACTCTTAGAAAACAGAGGGTTTGGGTGTAGCTTCACTTTTTACATGACAGCAGTGTATTGTAATCTGACATTTGGAAGGTCAAGAAGGCAAAGTTGCTTTCTAGTTGCTCTTCAGGCAAGTTTTAACACTTCATAATGAATATTGTGAACACGAGTTTCTTTGGAGGGAGGACTAGAAACTGCCAATTACTGTTACAGCCAAGGAGGAAAAGCTGGAATATTAGCATGTATCTAAATCATGCATCAAGATGTGGTTTTAACATGTAACTGTAGTTCAGTCAACAAGTTTCTGTAACTTTCTGAATACACCAGACAGCAGCACACAAACTGATTATCAATGAGCTCCTGTGAACGTGAGATACACTAGTCGAATCACTTCATTTTTGATGCTCTTTGACACATTTGGGTGAGGATGGGGTGGAGTTTTCCCTCAGGTAGTAGCACATTCCAAGCAGGATGGGCCTGCAAAGTGCAAGACACAGCTCAGAAACACAGAAGCTGAGAGAGCAATGCCTGTTGTCCTTGCAGCTGTTTTTCCACCTGTCGAGGGAGCGCGTGTTTTCCGAAGACAGAGCTCGGTTCTACGGCGCCGAGATCGTGTCCGCGCTAGATTACCTGCACTCAGAGAAGAACGTGGTTTATAGAGACCTGAAGGTACGGAGAAAAATCATTTTAGAGGCTCTGAGGCATTGGTTTTTGGTTTGCTGTTAGCAAGTGAGCCTGCACTGCTAAGCAATCCTTTGCTGCCTGAACTTCATCCTACCCCTTGTTGCAGCTGTTGGGTTGCACTTCACAGGATGTCTGAGCACTTTTATAGTCTCAGGGGCTGTATGAGGCATTTCTTGGAACCCTGGGAGCATTTCAGAGAACGCAAAGGGCTACTGGGCTACTTGGGTTTCATTTTCACTTGCCTGCTTGTGTTCTTGCTGGTGTTTTCTGTGCAGTGGAACACAATCCTGGTCTTATCAGACAGATGCAAATCGATACTGCATGGACCTTGTGCTTCCTTGCAGTGTTGCTGCACAGCAGTGTGCTCGCACGACCTGCTTACAGTTAGAAAATTTCTTCAGCTTCAAGTGACTTATTTGTTTGGTGAGCACAGAAGGGAAAAAAACCAACCCACCCCAACCAAACAAGATATCTCAGGGCAAACATACTTGAGAAATTCTTGAGGAAAATGCTGTAATGGCATCTTTTTTCTTTCCTGAGAAGAGTTTTCAGGAGAGGCTGAAGGGGATACTGGTAGTTTATTTAGAAGCCATCTAAAATGAAGTATGTTGTGTAATGTTTTCAGGCTGTGTCAAGCGAATTTTGGGCTTTCTGTCCCCCATATCACCATAATTCCTTTGGATGTGCATTTTATCCATAGACAGCAGAGGCTGAGGGAGCTGGGGGTGTTCAGCCTGGAGAAGAGGAGGCTCAGGGGAGACCTTCTCACCCTCTGCAACTCCCTGACAGGAGGTTGGAGTCAGGTGGGAGTTGGTCTCTTCTCCCAGGCAACCAGCAGCAGGACAAGAGGGCACAGACTCAAGCTCTGCCAGGGGAGGGTTAGGTTGGCTATTAGGAAGAGATTTTTTACAGAGAGAGTGCTCAGGCATTGGAATGTGGTGCCCAGGGAGGTGGTGGATTCACCATCCCTGGAGGTTTTCAAGGTGAGACTGGATGTGGCACTTAGTGCCATGGTCTAGTAACCACAGTAGGGTTGGACTTCGTTATCTTGGAGGTCTTTTCCAACCAGGTTGATTCTGTGATATCTGGGTGGCTTTGCCAAAAGTTAGTGGCTCAGGCTAGGATGAGCACCACATGCTGAGCAAATTTGTGCAGTGATTCCCATTGAAAGAGTCTCTTTGGGAGTGATCCCTTAGCCTTGCATATGATTGCTGTTTTATTTGCTCTTATTCACTGGTAGAGTTTATATCACAGAATCACTCAGAGTAAAAGCAAGGATGAAGGGAGTAAAAGCTAGGATGAAGTTACTGAAGTTGAAGGGAGAAATACTTGGCATGCTTTTGATAGAACTGCTGTTCTGCTGGTGATAATATTATAGAAACAGAAATACAATGTCTACATTCTGCATTCCTTCTGCATAAACAATTGGTTACCTAAAGACTGCAAATTAGTTACCTAATGCTCCCTAAAGAGCTATGAAGAATGTTATAAACATGTACTTACACCATATGTGCTTTGGCAGCTGCTGCGGTTCTGACCCCAGTGAGGAGGAGGTTGAAAAGTGATGTGCAGAAGTTCATGTCTTTCCATTGACCTGCTCAGGGGCACTGTGTGTTCTATGTAATCATGTCTTCAACGTGAATTTTCTTCCCAGCTGGAAAATCTTATGCTGGATAAAGATGGACATATAAAAATAACAGACTTTGGACTATGTAAAGAAGGCATCAAGGATGGAGCAACAATGAAGACTTTCTGTGGCACTCCAGAGTACCTTGCACCAGAGGTAAGTTCATGTTGGATGCTGTGTTAAATTACCTCTTTATGTCTCATCCATGGTAGCAGTAGGAATATAGAATAATTCCTTTGCCATTCTGTGTTTATGCAGTAACTGCTGGTGTATAATGACACATAGAATCATGGAATTTTAGGGGTTGGGATGGACCTTACAGTTCATCCAGCCCCAACCCCTGCCCTGGGCAGGGACACCTCCCACCAGAGCAGCTTGCTCAAGGCTCAGCCAACCTGGCTGTGAACACTGTCAGGGTTGGGGCAGCCACAGCCTCCCTGGGCAACCTGGAACAGTGTCTCACCACCAGAACAGGGAAAACTTCTGCCTAAGATCTCATCTAAATTTCCCCTTCTTCAATTTGTGCCCATTGCCCCTTGTCCTGTCCCTGCAGCTCCTAACACAGATCCCTCTGCAGCTTCCCTGGAGCCTCTTCAGCTCCTGGAAGGTGCTCTCAGGTCTGCCCACAACCTTCTCCAGGCTCAACTCCCTCAGCCTGTCCTCATAGGGGAGGTGCTCCAGTCCTATTCCAATGCCTGAACACCCTCACATGGAAAACATTTCTCCTCACATCCAATCTGACTCTGCCCTGGCTCAGCTCAAGGCCATTCCCTCTATCCTCTCCCTGCAGCCCTGGCAGGACACACATCCCCCACCTCTCTGCAGCCCTGTCAGGGAGTTGCAGAGAGCCAGGAGGTCTTTTCCGTCCAGCTCAGAGCACAGGCAGAAGAAATTCTTGGTCTGTGGGCAGATTATATATTTCTGGCACAGCCAGGATGTAATCCTTACTCCTCCCTCTGAGCTGGGAGGCTTGGGCATTGCAAACCTGCCTCGAGTTGAAGTATGCGGAGGTACAAAGCATGGAAATCCAAAGTGGAGGAGGAATATTTCTGCTGAGAGCTGCTGCCTGTGCTGATCAGAGCTTTTGTGCTCTCTGCTTGCATAGTGGTGGCAGTGAGCTCTTGGGTTCTGTTTGGGGTTTGGTTTTAACTCCCAGCTGCTTTCCAGGGCCTCCAGTCTCTGTAATAGCCAAGAACATGGGCACCTCTGGAAGTAGCTTGCAGCACGGAGGTGGCGCCTGTCTCGTGGTGACTCCAGCTTTTCCATGGATCACCAGAAGCCTCCAGTGAATCTAAATTGGGGTCCATGCTCCACAGTTTGAGATTTACTGATGCAGAGAGTAATTAGCAGCATGATGGAGTGTTTATTATTCATAAACATAGCTTTTATTTTAGCTTCCCTCTTAAAATCAATTACTGAACTTCAGTTCCTCATCAAGGATTTTATGAGGAGACTAAAAATATTTGCTGTTTTGGTTCTGTTCTTCCCTAACTCGGAGTGTGGGGATTCCCTGTGCAGGAGTTGTGTTGATCTTTCTGTTGTGTTATTTGCTAGTATTTCTCTTTTTAATATTTATGATGAGTTGGCTCATGCAAAAACCCTGAAGGACAAATCCTTTTGATTACTCCAGTTCTCTCCTTTCCTTGCAAATCCCATCTGTGAGTTGGAGTGTTAAATTCTGCAGGCTTTTGTCATCTGGTTGGTAGCATGCTAAAAATCTGGGAGCTGTGCACGAGTGATATTCTGTGTCTGAGGTCACACATCCTGACAAGCAAAGGGTCTTGGCCCTCTTGTCTGCGTTTGTAACTCGAGTCCAGCACAGCAGTGTGTCTGTGCAGTTGGTGCAACGTTGTCTTTAGGTTCCTACTGGAATCTCATGCATGGATGACAGTGACTGAACCATGTCAACTTTGATGTGTCAGATGCAGCAATGGCTGTGATGTTTACAGCTGTTCTGCCTCCTCCTTCAAATTTCTGCTCACAACACTCTAGGAAATGATGATCCTTTGGTCTAAGTGAAATGACCTTGTTCCTTTACTGCTCCCCAGAGTGTGGCAGTAAATCATGGATGAGTGCAACATCTTTTTTGTGGTTGTATATTTTGGATACTCAAGCTATTGCTCTCTTCTATGCAGTTGTTAATTTGCTCACTGGGATAAAGAATGGGGAGAAATAAGCATTTTATATTCTGTTTAGAACTAATAGAGTTAGAGTCATAGAATCATCGAGGTTGGAGGAGACCTCTAAGATCAAATCCAACCATTAACCTGTCACTGCTGGAACCCCTAAACTCTAAACCAGATCCTCCAGTGCCAGATCCAGACACATCTTAAAAACGCCCAGGGAGGGTGACTCCACCACCTCCCTGGGAAATATCCCAGTGCCTCAACACCACAACAGGGAAAACATTTTTCCTGACATGTAATCTGACTCTCCCCTGTCTCAGCTTATGACCATTCCCTCTAGTCCTCAAAGATGGTCCAAAGAGGTGAAGGAAAGAGTTCTAGTTAGTAATTTAGCTTAAACAGACACTATTAATACACTTATTCAAGTCACGTTAGAAGTGTTTACTGCAATTTGAAAGCACCTGTAGCATTTCTTGCACACACTCAAAAGGCCTCTGTGGTTTTCTTTTCCTTTCAATCTCTCCTATTGCACCTCTTGCAGCAGTTTGAAAAATAAAAATAAAGCTAGGAGGGCCTTGCAAGGATTTTATTTTAGGTAAGCCAAGTGCAGGGGAGTGTGAACAGGAAGCTCTTACTGAACGGGGTGACTCACGGAGCAGTAAGTGCATTGTCACACTATATCTCCTGCCTGCTGCAGGGCTGTGATGCCTGGGGAAGGCCAGGGCTGGCTTCTGGAATGCTGTCCAGGAGCAGCTGTGTCTTCCCTGTGGGTGCAGGGGCAGCTGCAGAACCAGCTGTCGCGTGGTGCAGATCACACGGCCAGGGCTGCCCTAAATAGCCCAGCCTGGAGTAACTCAATACCTGCAGCTCTGGAGCTGTACTGCAGGCCCTCTGCCTCCTGCAGATCATATGGGGCAATAATGAGGGAATCGGGACAGAGTGCAAACAGTTGTCAGGTGAAGTGTCTCGATGCAGCTTTTTTTTTTTTCTCATGCAAAACCTTTATCAAGGTTTTTAAGAGGTTCAGATCTTGCTTTGGTTGAACTTGTGTTGATGGTGTTTGGCTCTTTCACCTGTTTTCTTTTAGTGTAAAGTGTTCTGAATTGCAGAAAATGAGCTCACACACACTGCAGCAAGAAAACACGATGGCAGTGCAGTCATGGTTGGTGCTCTCAGCAGGTGTGAGCAGTGCAGACCCAGGAGAGGAGGAATGATGGCAACTCAAATCTGAGGACAGGGTCTGGAACATGAGACTCTTGGTGTCAGCTACAGACAACTGGGTAGGAGACATGAAGTCTAGAGAAGTCCTTGTAACATCCACTGCACAAGCCACAAAACTCTCCCCACTCCCTTCAGCAACCACTGCGCAGGTCAGGAATGCACTGTGACAGAGCTTCCCCAGGGTGAGCAGGAGAGGTGTGGGCACTGAGGGCCTGAGTCCCTGCACCAGCCAAGGCTTTGTAGGTAAGACTGCTCAGGGAAAAGGAATAATTTCCCCTCTACTCTGCACTCATGGCACCCACCTGGAATACTGGACACAGTTCTGGTGTCCTCAATGTAAGAAGGACATGGAACTGTTGGAGCAAGTCCAGAGGAGGCCACGAAGTTGCTAAGAGCGCTGGAACATCTCCCCTATGAGGACAGGCTGAGGGAGTTGGAGCTGTTGAGCCTGGAGAAGAGAAGGTTGTGTGGAGACTTCAGAGCACCTTCCAGGTGCTGAAGGGGCTCCAGGGAAGCTGCAGAGGGATCTGTGTTAGGAGCTGCAGGGACAGGACAAAGGG